GGAGTCTTGAACGGCTAACCCTGCAGTGGCGTTGGGCGAGTAGAATTCTCCATTATTATTTCCATCAATGCTCTGACCTCCATCAGGGACAAAGTCCGGGCGCAACATGGCTCCGGGAAAGTACTCTGTGATCTTGATCTTGACATCGCATAGATCGCGCTCGCGTGCCACACGCTTGCGCTTCTTCTTATTCGGATCTTCGGACTTGGGTGTGCCCGGCGGGCGTCCTTTCAACCGGCAATCCCAATAGTGAGAGACGAATGGCTTGCGTCTGTATCGTTGTGTCGAGCGATGAGAGTAGACGTTGTCGACATGCGCAAAGTATGTTTCGAACCTGCTGCTGTTAATAATTGTAATCGCATGAGAGTTCGTATTACCTACTGGTCTTGACTCAAGGTTATCATTTCGTCCACATCGAATAGCTTCTTGCGCCATTCAGCAATGTTCGGAGGGTCCGCAACGACCCGGGTGCTTAAATGGCCATTGCTCTTCTGGTCCGAGCCGCCGGGAGACCCAAATATATCTTCATCTTCCTGCAATTTCGCAATTGCATTGTGTTGCAGATGGGTCGGTGTTAGGAAGGGGTGGTGAGGTTGGTGTTGCTGAGGGGTATGCGGGCTCCCAGAAGGCTGGTGGTGCATATGTCGATGTCCATGATTACCATCAAACGTGTTTGGCGAATGAAAGACCTGGGTGTGCGAGGCACTCTGCAAACTCTGCAAGTCTTGTTGAAACACTGCGTCGTTATCATCAAGGCCGCTCAGATCAAGCCCATTCTGTGGCCCTAGACTTTGGTGAGACATGTGAGGCTGGCCGTGCTGGAGACCATGAGACACCTGAGGTTGCAGATTGCGATACCCCGAGGGAATTTGCTGGTGAAGAACTGCCTCGGCCTCCATCATTGCTGGAGATTCATCTGTTTATCTCTCTGTATACTGGTTGGCGCTTCCTCAGCGGTTGCATTGCCACCTGCTGCTTCGCGGCCAATGCGGTATGTGAAGGGTCCAAGTCCAAGGTCCAAGGAAGCAAGGACGGATAAGAGGTGGACCGGATGGTCACGACCACCGTTACCCAAATAACCACGAAGTAACGTAAAAATTACGGGATAGCCACCGCGACCACCTGAGAACAGTCGCAAGAAGCAAAAGGGAAGCAAAAATAAAACAAACCCGAACAAAAAGGAAGCAAAATGTTATGAACGATGCAGGGATCGAACCTGCGACCTTTTCCGCGTCTGATGACTTTGTAAAGGAAACGTGATAACCACTACACTAATCGTCCATTGAGGTGATATTGGCTCGGCTAAGCTGATCAATACCATGCACAGAATGAGACTGACATTAATGCTTGTCCTTTAGAGTGTTGAAGCTGACGGCGCTTGGCGGAGAATTGGCAAAGAAGCCATTTGGAATCACAACAGGCTTCCCCAAAAACTTATGATAATTACCGCCTATGGTGACCGAGTTGGCTCACCTTCAAGAGTAAATGCAGTACTTTATAAAACTCTCAGAATAAGTTCTGCCTATATTATAAGGCGCTTGTTGGCTATGCTATCAAACATAAAGCGGCCGCTAGTTTAAAGTGTGCTTTCTTGGCGTGTCTACCTCGCGACCCAAAAGTATATCAAATATCTAACAAAACCAATCCAAGTCCACAACCCAACAACCTCACTCCTCCACGCTCTCCTTCTCCACCGCCATCATGGAGTCCTCCCGTGGCCCGCCCCGGGTCAAAAATAAGGCCCCCGCGCCTCAGCAAATCTCCGCCGAACAGCTTCTGCGCGAGGCCGTCGACCGACAAGAGCCTGGCCTTCAAGCGCCTACGCAGCGCTTCGCCGATTTAGAGGAGCTTCATGAGTTCCAGGGCCGAAAGAGGAAGGAGTTTGAGGACTATGTGCAACGAAACCGGATTAATATGAACAATTGGATGCGCTATGCACAATGGGAACTGGAGCAGAAAGAGTTCAAGCGCGCGAGGAGTATCTTCGAGAGAGCGCTGGATGTGGACTCGACGAGCGTTACGCTATGGATACGATATATTGAGGCGGAGATGAAGACGAGGAATATCAACCATGCGAGGAATTTGCTGGACAGAGCAGTGACCATTCTACCCCGCGTGGATAAGCTGTGGTACAAATATGCATATATGGAGGAGATGCTGGGAAATATCCCTGGAACAAGACAAGTGTTTGAGCGCTGGATGAGCTGGGAGCCAGATGAGGCGGCGTGGAGCAGTTACATTAAGCTTGAGAAGCGCTATGGGGAATACCAGCGAGCCCGAGATATCTTTGCGCGCTTCACGACAGTACACCCGGAGCCAAGAAACTGGATTAAATGGACACGCTTTGAGGAGGAGTACGGAACGAGTGATCTGGTGCGCGAGGTGTTCGGTATGGCTGTTGAGGCTCTGGGAGAGGACTTTATGGACGAGCGGCTCTTCATCGCATACGCACGTTACGAAGCCAAACTCAAGGAATACGAGCGCGCCCGTGCCATCTACAAATACTCCTTAGATCGCCTCCCAAGATCGAAATCCTTAGCTTTACACAAGTCATATACGACCTTCGAGAAGCAGTTCGGTGATCGCGAGGGTGTGGAGGACGTCATATTATCGAAACGCCGGGTGCAGTACGAGGAACAACTCAAAGAGAACTCGAAGAACTATGATACTTGGATTGACTATGCGCGCTTGGAGGAGACATCGGGTGATCTGGACAGGGTGCGCGACGTATACGAACGTGCGATTGCGCAACTGCCGCCGAGTCAGGAAAAGAGGCATTGGAGGCGGTACATTTATCTGTGGATCTTCTACGCCATCTGGGAAGAGATGGAAGCTGGCGATGTATCCAGGGCGCGCCAGGTGTACGCTGAATGCATGCGCCTGATTCCACATAAGAAGTTCACATTCGCCAAGATCTGGCTCCTTGCAGCGATGTTTGAGGTCCGCCAAAAGGATTTGGGGAAGGCGAGGAAGATGCTGGGGCAGGCGATTGGGATGTGCCCGAAAGATAAGCTGTTCACTGGATATGTTGCTCTAGAACTCAAGTTGTTTGAGTTTGCGCGATGCAGGACGCTGTATGAGAAGGCGCTCATGTTCAACCCTGCAAATTCATCAGCTTGGATAAGGTTTGCAGAGTTGGAGCGCGGACTGGATGATCTGGAGAGGGCACGAGCCGTGTATGAGCTGGCTGTCGACCAACAAATGCTTGATATGCCGGAGCTGGTGTGGAAGAGTTATATCGACTTTGAGGAGGAAGAGGGAGAGTACGAGCGCACAAGGAGTCTGTACGAAAGGTTATTAGAGAAGACAGGACACGTGAAGGTCTGGATCTCGTATGCGCACTTTGAGATCAACATTCCCGACGAGGAAGAGGAAGGAGAGGAGGAAGAGAGCCCGATTAGCGACGCTGCAAAGGACAGAGCGAGGAAGGTATTCGAGCGTGCACACAAGAGCATGAAAGAAAGAGATTTGAAGGAGGAGAGAGCGGCACTGCTGGCAGCACACCTAAGCTTTGAGATGACTCATGGCGATGAGGCGAGCCAAGAGCAGCTGACGAAGAAGCAGCCGAGGAAGACGAAGAGGAGGAGGAAGATGGACGATGATACCTATGAGGAGTATGTGGATTATGTGTTCCCTGACGAGGAAGAAGGGAAGAAGAGGCTTGGTGGGCTTATGGAAGCTGCAAGGCTGTGGAAGGAGAAGGGTGGTGGCGTGTAAGAATGGCGGTGCTGGTATCTACAAAGATCGTACTAATGAAATCGAAGTTTGGACATAAAGATTCGTGGTCTATTGTTGAATGTAAATGCACCTCAAGTAGTTGATCTATCAACACTAGCAACTGTATTCATATACATGTATCCTCTATACCTTAGGCTGTCTCTGTACCTCCCCACGTATCCTGATCTCTGGAATGACTCAGTAGTCTCGAAGCCCCTTTTATATCAATGAATCTTGCACCACGCGGCATCTGGGTGAATAGTTGCCCAAGAGATCGGCCATTCGACATAAAACGCTACTCACAAGGTCAAGAACTTCAAGTCAACAATGTAAAGCTCTTGATTCTGATATAATTATTCCCATAAAAGACGAAAGCCCCCGCGCCTTCCACCCACCCCCTTCCCCTCTCATCCCATAAATAAAGAAAGGAGAATAGCATCGTACAAAACCACTAATCGTATCGTCAGAACCCAGCAAAGAGCCAACCCGCCTGGTGAGATTGCAAGCATCTCGCATCTACAGCACAAACCGCTTCCGCCACGGATAGCTCCGGAATTGTATACCATAAGGGCCAAAAATCATACATCGACATAGGGCTAAAGGAGAAGGGCTCGCATCGCAAAGCTAATTTTCAACAATATTCACATATTTACGACGAGACCGAGGATGCGACTGGCCTGGTTGTCCCGAAAGTGTTGGTCATCTCCTTGGCATATCTTTCGCGCTCTGCCACAGCGAGATCCTCATATAACTGCGTAGAAGTGTCAGTTCTTGGTTTCTCATGGATTAGCTCGTATAAAACGCACCTTCTTCTCGGATTCCGATAGTGTCTTGAACTCCTGGGCCAGAACCTTCGCTGCCTCGACTGGAGAGATTCCCTTGAAGTCGCCGCTGGCGTATCTCTCCTTGACGAAAAGTATGTATGCGGGCAAAGGTCTCTTGGGGATTCTGGGGTCATCGATCTTCAGATGCTTTCCTGCTCTTATCAAGCCAAGGTGCTTTAAGCGCTGCTGGGCATGGTTTGAGTCGTAGATCTGTTGAGGGGATAGGGATGCTAGCCAGGCTTCGTAGCTTGCATCATTTGAGGCCTTATTTGCGTTGGCTTTTTGGTTATAGATCTACGAATGTCAGCATAGACCTTGTAGTGCCACTGGAAACAGTATCAGATGGACTCACCTCTCGTGTGGATGTATCTAGAGTCTTGTATCTGGCGGCCGCATCTTTGACTAACTCTGCCAGTGGAAGCCCCGGGTTCTGCGAGATGGACTCTGAGTTCAATACTGTCCAGGCAGTAGCAGGGAGCTGCTTTGGTGGAGTCAAGACCTTGGCCTTCAGCTCTCGAATTTTGGCTTTCCCATCCTCCACGACCTTCCTCTCCTTCTTCTTCTGTGCCTGTACCTTCGCCCTAACAGCATCCGCCTCCTTCTTCTCTTGCTGCTTCTCGGTCAGCTCCTTCTTCGCCTTCTTTACTGCCGGTTTCTTCACGGCCTTCTTGGTAGTGGTAGAGGCGCCTTTCTTAGCCGGCTTATCTGAAGCTGGCTTGGCTGGCTTGGTGGTAGAAGCGCTGTAAAGGCGCTTGCTGGAGAGAATGACAAGAGCGCGTCCTTGGAATTCTGATTGCAGCGCATTCTTTCCACTCTGCGTGATCTGGACGCGCTGGATCTGTTGCGGGACGCGTGCTGTTGATCTACCTCCCCCAATCCTCCCAATTGCTGCTCTGCCGATTGCGGAAAACATGACGATGCTGCGATCCAAGTTCTGTGTTCTTCAATGGAGATATATTCTGTATATTGGCGACGACCAAGTCTCGATCTCTGAAAGGACTTCGTGGACGTCTCAGTTGTCCCTGAAACAACGAGGAGGCTGGAGTACTGCCGACGATGTACCCTATCACGCGAGCTCAAGTGGACCTGGGAGCTTTTAGGCCTTTACTCCAACGGGACATACGGCGACCGAAGTGAACCAATAGTGCAATTTAAGCATTTGCCTTGTGAATTCAAGTTCATGTTGCGACAGACACTCAATACTTCAACCTGGGAATTATAACCCAGTCACCAGTCTGATTTATACGGCACTCGCACGGAACGACGGTAGAAATATAGTTGAGAATTGCGAGAAGCTTATCAGAGTACTTCTCACTTAAGTCATAACGGCGCAGCCATGGCGCGTCGAAGGGATTCTCGCTCACCATCGGCTACAGGATCTCACCACTCTTCCAAAAGAAGCAGAAGAGACGATGACATTCGACACGACAGAGACCGTCGGCATGCCCGCGAGGGCCGCGACGTCGGCGGAGCCGTTCTCGCAGCATCGATGTAAGAAGTCGTCATGAGTATCAGAAGAGTTCTTTTGCTAACGACAATTTCAAGCGACGCCACCGAGATTCACGCGATTTACCCCGCCAACGAGATCGCTCAATAGGTCGAAGAGACGATGGCTATAGACGACGAGATAGGTCTCGAGACCGCAGACCCTCTAGAGAGAGGCACCTAGACAGAGAACACTCTCCAGACCGAAGGCGACGCCGAAGCCGTGATCGAGATTACAGGGACAGGCGAGATGAC